TCGTAGCCCCATATTTCTCTTTCGAATGGTGAAAACCGCACCTCTCTATCTATCACCGTTCCGGAGCTATAAGGTCAACACTGACCGGCCATTCTATTTTGAAATGGATAGTAGTTCATCAGTAGATTCTTTTTTATACTTTTAATTTGAATTTTTTGCTCATTTTAGATTAAACTAACATGTTAAAACAGGTCCTAAAAAAAGCGAAGAAAGAAACAAAGATTGAGTGTGTAAATTTAATCAAATTCAGATGCCTTGAAGTTGCTTTTACAATTTAATTTGTGTAGTGTGCTGTTTTGAAGAATATTATATTATAGAATATTATAGACTTTGATATAAAGACACATGTGATAGATCAATGAATGACTGAAAACTGAAAATTCGAGTGTAGTGTGTGGAATTCAGCGATGTTTTGCTGTAGGTTTTCCAGAGACCCTCCAAAGACCAGCTCAACAATCTTGAAATGGCTTGTATCAGATTCTTCATCGTTTTTAACGTATACACCGTGACTTTGACGTGATTTGAACGAAAATTCAAGGTTTTAGGAAAAAATCACTTAGCCGATTTTGGGCAAAACGCGCCGTTTTTCAACGTTTATTTTTTTTCCCTACGCTGAAGAACAAATTCAAAAATATACACATATAACTTTATTCTAAATTTCATGGCGCATCTTATGGCGAAAGAATCAGGTCGCTAGCTCACAACCCTAAGGACTTGATGTTTTTGCGAGATCGATGGGTCGAACTTCGAGTTCCACCGATTGAACCTCTTGATATGTTTTTTAGTTTCTGCTGAAAAACTTTAAAACACAGTTTTCTAGATTCACTTTTCGATGTAGAATCTAAAAATATCAGTTAAAAAAAGTTAAAATGCAATCTGAAATGGCGACAGCACATTTTCTGAAAAGATGCATTTTTTCGTGTTTTTGACCCGAGCATTTCACCGAGTATTTCGGGTCTTTCTCCCTGAAGATGGTATTTTTTTAAACTCGGACGGCAATATTCGTGATCAGCACACTTTGCTCTATCAGAATATATTTATTTGAATTAAAAATAAAAATGCATGGTAACTTTGAATTACGCACGCCTTACAACAAAATGCTTTTTATTAACTACTATGTTTGTTTTGCTGTTATATTACTGTTGTCTTCAAAAATTATTGTCTTTGTGTGTTATTAAATATTCTGCAAGTGTTTGTGCATCATGATACACTACATAGATATTACTTCCATTTGTAGTTGAATCGTAACCAATCGGACAAACATTCATTTCACTATTACCTTTAGTTGATTTTCCAATTAATACTTTACAAAGAAACATACATCATTCACCATTTTCATTTTTCTTAGTATAAAAATGACTTAATTTGGCACTAGTTGCAAAATATACTCCCTTGCCATATACAACACCTAAAAGAAATAATAATGTGTGAATAACGCTATATATTATGACATCACTTGTCTTTTGTTTTACTGTTGTCATATTCTAACCAAGTAGCAAGGAGACTCTTCAACACAGTAACTTTACTTCATTTTTGAACAAGAATCTGCTACCTTTTAACGCGATAGCCATTGACGAACTAAATTGTAAAACTCCTCATGTCGAATGTTATTTAATTGTATGACAATAAATGAAAGCGATCATCGATACTTTTTCCACTAGTCTTCGGGACGAGTGAGCAATCCACAAAAATTGCATTCAACTGTAGATGGTAAATTCATTATTCTCATTTCATAGAACTCGCCAACGACGATGAGTATATTGTTTTTCTCGATTTTCTATTAAAACTTTTATAAACTTTGCTCATTTTATCGGGTAATCTTTGAAAGAAGTTTCAGAAAACATACCAGATACTGTGCCAGCATATCCTCGATCAAATCCTCGTTCCACAATTGATTTTGCTGCTGTATCTGCACATCCATGAAATAATACTTTTTCGCTATTGGTTTTCAAACGTTTTTTAAAATCTATTTGATGTGCACGATATTGTATAAAACATCTTTTGTTTTGTATACGTTCAATACGACTAACAGTTACTTCAGTTAATTTAAATTGTTTTAAACATGAAACATATTCAGTGGAAGAACGTTTTAATCTATAAAGCATTTGGTCACTGTCTTTTGTCTTATTTTGCCAAGTATCTGGTAGTTGATATTCCGCAGCAGTCATTTTTGCTATTAATGGAAATGCATACATGTTTGACATAAGAGAAAGAATAAGATACATTTGAAACAAAAACTTTATATGATTAACCTTTTTCAATTGCATACCAAAAGGAATCGTTTGATTTTTGAATAATTTTATGTTGTTCTACAAATTTATTATATACCTTTCGTCGATCGCGTAGTATTATGAATAAAACTTCTAATTCAATATCTAATAATAATAATTGATTTCTTGCTGTCGTCAACATTGCATTAGAAACGAAATCAATAGAACAGCCATGTAGTCCGCATCCTAAATAAAACAAAATCTAAATGCCAAATTCATCATATTTTCAAAAACCTGTTTTTATTCTTTGTAAAACTCTTCTTTCTAAATAGAAAGCTTTTTATTTCCTAGGATGATTTGAGCTTTTAACAAAAAAAGCAAACTTTAGATTAATCTACAGGTAAAAATATAAAATGATCTATTAAACTTATAGTCTTCTAGACATGCGTCAGTAGCAATCGTATTCCACTGGAATTGACATTTATATTATTTGATATTTCGCTTCATAACCCACTAGCAAGAACAAAACACTTTTAGAAATATCAGAGTTTCTTTTACCCTGTTTGTGTTCTATTGAATGAGATGTTGGTTGAAAACTTTCATGATATACTAATCAAGTTATTGCCAAAATCATATTAATGGAGCCTTTTTTCGAAAAAACTCGATAGCAAAAAAAGGTTTTTCTCATAATTCGGAAATCAAAGGTTACAGATTTTTATTCGATCTTTGAGTATATGGGTACGGTAGGATACGATCAAAATTTTTACATACCAATCGCGGGAAATGCTATAGTTTTAAAGTTAGAATTTCTTGCTTGTTGTATTGAATTTGTAACAACTTCTTCTATTGTTTGTCTAAGAATTGTTTCATCAGAATTTGGTGTCCAGCGTAAAAAGAAAATCTTTTTACAGTTCAAATTGCCTGATGACGTTACAAGAAATTGTATATTTTTATCTTTTTCAATTTCATTTTCATATTCATTTTTAACATCCGCACCCGCGGCATCGATTATTGATGGTCTCAACTTATCGGATGATGAAGAAACAACAATAACATCAACCTAGATAAATTAAAAAAAAATCTTTTATCATAAAACCAAGTTCCGTGTTTTCATGCCATGCTGATTACCGTTTCAATTCTTAAATCACCCTGACGAACTTTGATTAATCGTGATAGAGTTGAGGGTAAAGTATCATACACTAGTTACAAACAAGATTCACTAGGTCCAAATCAATCACCCGTACCGGTATACGGACGGATTGAAGGCCGTGTTCAAGGCTACAAAGTGTTCAGTTTATGTGAAGAAAAACAACACAAGAAGTATTAGTAGAGACATCGATAATGAACTTGAAGATTGTTGCTTGCGGTGAGACGGCTCTTTATTAATTAAACTAAAATATAACTAAATAATAAATTAAAATAAAATGAAGGAACAGAACCTTGAATGATCGAAAATTGAAAACATTGACTTGTTCACTTAGGAAAACGATACTGCCAACTACTACGATTTCCAAATCGACTGACTTACCATTTACTTCACGCCGAAAAAACATATCCAACTCTGCAAACTTCTAGACCATTTACTTGCTTTGCACAATGATTTTCCCATTCGTTCTGCTTCCACTTTGTGGCAGCAAGTGAAGAGAATGGGCTTTAAGTACCAGACGACTGGAAAAGTCAAGGTTCCCTTTGTTCAACCGCCTTCATGGCTTCATTAGCAAGATTTTTTAGAGAACTCAAGGATCTTCGAGATAATAATGTTGTTGTTCATTATCACGATGAATCTTGGAATGCAAATGAAGAAAAAAATCATATTTGGACAGATGACAGTGGAGCTGGTAGACTACGGAAAAGCGAAGGAAAATGTGAGCTAGTCACAGCCTTCCCGAGGAAGCCTTCCTTAGTAATCGAACTAATGGCGTAACCAGGATTTCGGTCCAGAGGGAGCTGAACCCAGAAAATTTTTTAAACACTATCATCACATAGAAACACTAAGAAAGTACCAAATAACGAATTTTTTCCAGAGGGGGCAGAGATATTTCCAGAGATTTCGAGATTCCAGCCCCCTCAGTAGTTACGCCACTAAATCGAACCCAGACCATCAGTGTACCGTACTGCTGCTCTAACCACTAAGCTATCTGGTCCGTTCACTATCTGTCACAATCATCTCCGACAAATGTTTTTTCTTTTTGTACGAGTTTGATTGTCTCGCAATCTGTTCCATCAATGACGCGCTGTTATTTCGAAGCTAACCCATTTCCACTCTTGATGCATATGCCTGAACAACAAACAAACAGAAATGCTACGATTGCTGAGTACAAAGATTTTTGAAAAAAACTATTAACACGGCCTGTGAATATGCATAAATTATTTGATCCATTAGTCGTATGTTGGAATCATATTAGTTTTCAAGTAGTTTCATTTCAAGACTGAGTTCTTGTTGAAAGGAAAAATCTAGAAAAAAAATGTCGAATAGGAAAAGTCTGGAAAGAGGAAAATATGTGAAAAGCCTGCAATAACAATATAGGTCAACCGTATACTGTCAATGGATTTCATTGTTTTTTGTCAGAAATTCTTAATAATGACTTAGAGCGTTTGTTTTGACACAGCCAGTGTGTTTAGTTGGTCAAAGTTTATTTTTTGGGTTCGTATGAAGTTTGTTCGAAAATTCTAAAGAGTATGTAATCGACAGTTGGAATGCCATTATAGGCACGACTATAAAATGACATATGTATCAATTCGAAAAAGAAAAACAAGTTATAGGCACAAAGCGAGGTTAAATCATGCTAAGGATACAATGTATAAATTATGGAGAAAACTGTAACTGAGATTAGTTTAAGGACACTGACGATAGCGACTAAGATACATTCGACGAAACAGGAACAGCAATAGCACATGAATGCAATTAATATGAAGGCCAACAATAGTAGATCGATCACAAATTTTAACAAATTGAGTTGTTCGATAAAGATCCAATGTTAACCATAATCCCAGATACTTCACTTCGTGATATTCAATTAAAGCAACTGAGTTGCTAACTTATACTTCGACGAAAACCGAACTTTCTTTCGCCAGTATCGGTTAGATCAATTGCAGAAAGTCAAAAATTATTTAAAGAAATTTCTTTGACAAAAATCTTCTTTTAGGGATGGTTTCGACTTAGTGACCACCTTTCTTTTGTAGAAAATCGTTTGGTTTTCCTGGCGAAAAACGAAAATGTGATCGATTCGAAAAAAGAAAGTTTCCGACGATCTGATCGGTCCTGTTGATGTCTCCCATTTCTCCCAATGTGAGAAGGAGATTGTTGGTTTTAATTGCTCGCACATGGTGCGACTGTGTGCATTAGTGGTTCTGGATAGTCGTGCCTGTATCTACCGGCGCAAAATGTCTTTTCTGATCTCAAAAGGGGAAGTAATGTCGGCGGTTTTCGCCTCAATTACTCCCAGTCGACATTTTTCCATTCAAGACTTTGCTTTCGATATTACCACCGAGACCATTAATGTAGATCGATAATGGAACATCTTATGTGATGTAGCAAATGCAATAAGATAAAACAGATAATTGTTTTTGTTCGAAAACGGAAATAAAATTTAACGTCTTGCCATTGTTCTGTTGTCTACGTTGTTTTGTGCGATCGACTATGAACGACACCTTCAGGAAATATGTGTGATGGTTAATGGAATATGCAAAATTTATAATGGTTCTTTACTGATCTATCTGTGCCGTTGAATTCGGATGCGTGCGTGATTAGATCGAACTGTCAAAGATTCACACCAATAATCGATAACTTTTGAAATCTTGAGCTAAAGTCTGAATGTTGTCAAAATTAATTAAATGACCCGTTTTGATAACGGGTGTTTCTAAAGCGAATTTTGGCTTATATTCTAATAGAGGGTCATCGCTACGTTGTGTTCGTTTAGCGATACTATCACTTGATCTTAGTGATTGTTCTTGGTGAGTACACTTTAGAATATGAACAATAAACAAGTAGCTCCGCACGATATTAATGGTAACATATCGGAAGCAACGATACGAGTATTCGCACAACAAATCTTTGTTATCGATGCATGAATGAGAATGC